GTTCATCCAATACGAATAATATTAGACACGCTAAAGCCGGCACATCTAACGTTGCCCTCGAGCGCCGTAAACTAGTTTTATGCGCCGGCTTTACGAGCGATATACGTACAAAGATCCTAATCGACTAATACAATCGTTGTTCTATTTGAATTTAATTTTTATCAAATCTACGCAGAACGAGATTAAGCCATTATATTTGTCATTAACGTTTCTTTTCTTTTACTTTACGTTTATTTAGATAAGAGGTACTTTTAATATCATAAAACATGGTATTTTTAAATGTTGTAATAAAGTTGGTCTTTAGGACTGTAGGTGTTCCTTTAACAAATCATTAAACTAAATTATACAATAATACAATAGTAAGCTGTTAAAAGTATTGGTTAAACATATAATTGAAAAAAAAAGCAACTCGTTGGGCTTATTGGTACATTGGTAGTAATGGCTGATAACGGGATATACAGAACCTGCAGAGTATCTCTACTCGATGATGTTGGTGTTTCACCCATTGCTTGTCATTCAAATTTTAAAAACAACACCGACTCGTATGTTATTATTCTGCTTTTTTAAAGCGCTAATTCAAAAATTACATGAACACAAGTGAGAGCAAAATCAAAAACTTCAAGTTAAACCTGAATTTGTTCGTCCTAAAAGACCCCTCTACCTGTTAGGAGCTTCTAATCCCTCGCCCGCAGGTGTTAGGTCATGCGAACCTCCTACTTCACATGTGTTGCCTTGAAATTAAAACCTTTTCTATACGCGAAAGGAATTAACAAGGACCTCGCTTTTGTATTCACGTTAGACTTACGCACGGCTCGTTTCAAGGCTTCAAATTTCGGCTTCCTTTGTGAGTTAAGTTAAATATATTAGTTGTTGAGTAATCTTTACAGTCGAGGCTTTCACAATATTTTAGTCGAAAGCTGAACAAACTCGCACACTTGTAAGAGATTCTATGTTACTCTCAGAGTTACACTTATGTTAATCTCAGAAACCACGAATACATATAAGAATAAAGATACACCGGGTAACGTGTAGCGTTTTCTTACGATTTTTGTATGCTATAAGCAAATAATTAATACAGTTAACCTATCAAAAATCACGATTTAAGAAAGGGTTTTTGAAAGGTCTTAGAAAGTACCTATTGTACTTTTGAAATAAAGCGCGGAATCCTGCGAATATGGAATCAAGGGTTTCAACGCAAGTAGGTAATTGAAAGATAATAATTAATGAATCCTCTACCTGTCAAATGTATGCTTTTGTTCATTATTCACGTTAATTACGAAGCTTGTGTTCTGCGGCCGACATGTCTGTTATCCGATGTGGATTGTAAATATTTTCCTTTCTACACATGAATTCCGGAATACACTTCAGTGAAGTTTAAGGTAATAAAGCTATATTTTTATGACAAGTTTTGATAATATTTTTTTTTGTCATTTTATAGTTAATGGCGATTACGTTACGTATTTTTGAAATACGTTTGATTCAAGCTATCGTGCGTTTGTATTGTTACACTGTAGTTATTCAATCACAAGGAAACTGCGTGATTCTTGAATATTTCTCATGGCACATAGCCGAGAGCGAAAAATATACTTTGAATGCAATGTACGGATCGCTGCAAGTAAAAGCTCGTTAGCCGATTGTGAACGTATTTAGTTATCGAGTCATTAGCCCGAATTTCTCGCCAACAGATGTGATCGAGAGGTGATGAGCGCTGGCATTGGCGGTAATCGAATTTATTTCGATATTATTCCCCGACGACCGAAATATCCACGGCTGCTCCAAATTGATCTCGAATTGGCTATTAATGGCGATGCTGGCTCTTTAATCCTATTACTGTCTTAAGGTTTATTAGGCACGGCCCGAAACACACGGCCTTCCGAGATAAAGTTCGTTCCTAATTATTTTACATATATTACTCTAGATAAAAGTCGTATAATTTTGCCATGATTTTAAAGTTAAGCGGCTTGTTTTCTTCAGATGCCAAATATAAAATCCTGTTTCTGTGTATTCTGCATAACATAGTGAGTTTTTGAACGCCCGCCCAGACTGAAATCGGGCGAAAACTGCGCTGTGCATACTTGCCCTGAATAAGCAACGCTTTTTAAATTAAATTTTTAAGACAAGAATGTCTGTAGCGCGTTGTGCGCAGATTGAGTTTCAAAAAATTGAATGGGTTCATTTGGTTTATCATGACACTAAAACGTAAGGCAAGTTTATACTGAAGGCGATTTAGGACGCCTCGCGCTTACAGCAATGGAAAGCAATAATGGATATTTTCCAAGTATCCATTAAATATATAATGTTATGAAGAATATTTTCCAGTTTAAAAAGGTTAAATATAGATATATCACACGTTTGATTTGTTTTAATAAATATTGCACGATAGAGCCCATATTAAAAAAAAACTAAAACAAAAGCTTTTTCTTTTTCGCTAAAGAGAAATATGGCCGAAATCAGCCCTCGAAATGCGTCAGCTCGGAGTAGAATTCCGCAGGAAGATAAAAAGCGGAATGGCCCACACCTGAGGACATTAAAACTGTCTGCATTTACCGGGATTACGTTAAGGGGAATCTAATTATCGTCGTATTCTAAATGGGGCTATCAAAAAACCGTTAAGCCCGAGCTTGTTTATGCGTTACGTCGCCCGGAAGCTCTCACGTGAGCGTGCTTAAGAATTCGCTGCTTTATCGAAAGATAACAGAGAAAAAGAAATCTCTATGTGGGATTGTAAAAGCAGTCTTAAACTATTTTTGGTTTATATAATTTAATTGTTAATCAGTTTCTATTTATGATCATGAAAACACAAATAATAAAAAGGCACTCTATTTGTCGAGTTCGTGAAAATGTATTTAGTATCTTCTTCACGACTTTCTTGCATTTGTGTAACTGACCTGTTTGTGGGCGGACTCTCTCGGCGTACTTTCAACAATTAACTTAAGTTAAATAAAGAGGTATAATAGAATTTAAACTGCTCCTAACAGAAGACAGATATAAATGGCCCGGAGCAAAAACTTACTCAAAACTTTAGTCCGGCCATTTCTTGCCATTTTAACTGGGAGTTTTCGTAAAAAAACTTCCGCGAGTTTACAGCGAATTAATTGCTTTTGTCTGTTTTAGAATGCCTTATACTTCGCTACTGGTTCGCGTGTTCGTCCCTTCTCAGTAGCAGAACAATTCTTGACAATTATGGGAAATTGTACGTACTTATAAACAGTCAATACATTATTTCACAAAGCTTTGTTTGCCATCGAAAGTATTGATGTTTTTGAAGTAAGCTAAGTAAAATATATGCAAGTTTATTACGGGTCCCTTTTAAATTATCAAAAAATTCAATTTCGTATATATATATAACACGAAACAGGAATTCTTACGTGGCGTTTGTGCTAGCACTATCCACTCTCCAAGTGGGCCTCATCTGTCGACATATAAGGAAAAGCGGAAAAAGGACCCGCTTATAATTTATAGGCAATAAGCTGAATTCGACGAGTGCAATGTCAGCATTGAATCCATCAAACCCGATTGGTGAGTATTAGCATAATGTCATTTATCATTGGGCGAGCCTAGGCCCATTTGCATAATGGCTGTTATAGTTCAGCTATTGATTTTTCTCTTGAATTTAATAAAAAACAAATGGACACGCGAAATATAGATTTATTAGCTCCGCAAAATATTACATAAGTAAGAGGAGATTTACATCGAAAATATCTTTAATCAACTTCTCCTTGCAAATTTGTCCATCTACTTGTTTGTTTAATTTTAAAAGGTATAAACCCAAAAAAAAACATTTCTACCAAAATAAAAACTTTTCGTTTAAATAAACACACATAGTTATACAACCAATCAAACTGATTTATCCCATACTGTACAAAACCGTCAATGTAACATAAATATGATGTTCAAACAATGTATTCTGCTCATAGATCCTCTATGAAAATAAGCCGAAAATTCCTCGTTCAATATAAAAAGTGGCAATTTGGTAGCCGCCAACCATTAAGGTAATTAATAGGCAATTAAAAGATCAAAAACTTATTGGACTTCGTAACGTTCAATATTCCTATCAATCATTATGAAGCAGCCTTTACTTTTATTTTGTTTTGTCTTTCTAATATTTTTTTACGAAATGTTAGCACTAAATACCAACTTCTAATAACCCGTTTTGGTTCTTCTCCTTGTCTTTTTGCGAATAATCTTTTTGTATGATTCATATTCATCATACTTTCCTCATGCATATATTTCCACTCGTTTATACGTAAAACATTTTCCCTTAAACCTCTTCTTTGACAATTCCAACTATTGGGACTTGAATTTATTATTATAAAAAAGGCAAAACAGGTAGGCAAATGCACGTTGGATATAACAATTTGTTTAATTTGTATAATCTTAGATTCGTCATTTAATAGTCAGATGTTTATGACCTATATCATTACCGCAATTTAGATCTCTATTCCGATGTACGTCATCAATCTGCGAGCACCTGTCGAATCCTCGCTCTCGAAGCATCAATCATCAGCCCACAGTATATTCTTCGTTTTATGACAAGCGTCCATCTCCGATTTTATGAAGTCAATTTAATGTGATTGATACTTGCCCTATTCGGCAGTCCTTTTGGGGAGCTTTTGATTCCTTTAAATATCGTTATTACGTCATTCTTCATTTTTCACGTCATTTCTTACAATGCTGATTTTTATTGCGATAAAATATGATAATTTAGAGTTTTTCACAACGATATACTGCTTTGTAACGAAATATGTTTTTTCTTCAACAATTATGGTGTTGAATAAATTTAAAACTACACACGCAACGGTAACTGAAGTGATGTGATTATCAATTCAGTTACCGTTTAATATTTTATTTCTTTTTTAGAGGGCTATTCTTATAGTTGGTACAACGATTCATCTCGTCTGTTGCAGGTCGCGTGATGCCGCACAGAGAAACTTAACAGTCATGACAGCGCGAATGTACTTGCATTACAAAGCAAGCATAACATTATGTGAACAGAAGCAATGATTCTAACAACTGCACCGACCAAGACCGTCTCTCGGCTGCGCTCGAAGGACCAATTTATCGGCGAAGGGTCAACGTTCGTCTACAAACATGTCAAGAATAAAACTAAAGACGCCGGCGATTTTATGATGCTGGTTGACGATTTCAGCGACTACTTCTACGGGAATGCGAGTCATGACGTTTTTAGTGGACACAATCAGACGCTAGAGGTTTTAAACGATGTCTATACGAATTGCACGTTCAACGGGACTTTTAACGTGTCGTGTTTCGGTAGGGTGGAAACAGTTCCGCAGTACAACTATTGGGCGTTGTTGTTGTTGATATTCCCGTTCTTTACGCTGTTCGGAAATGTTTTGGTTATCATGAGTGTCGTGAGAGAGAGGACATTGCAAACGGTGACGAATTACTTTATTGTGAGCTTGGCGGTGGCCGATCTGTTGGTGGCGGTCGTAGTTATGCCGTTTGGAGTTTATTATTTGGTAAGTTTAATCAGTTTTATCACAGTTAGTAGTTAGTTATACACTAAAAGTAACATGGAATTCAATAACTCCAGCTAGCCTTATTTCATTTTTAAAATGTATCAAAACTAGATAATATATTAGGTATGCCCAGAAACGTTTTAAATTTCACCTAAAAGGAAGTGTTTCCGATCGAAATGTGATTCGAGTGATTTTTCCTTTCATCAATGTAAGCACACTGAAGGCGCACAAGAGGGCTAGCATCAAGGACCACTTCATCTCTATTGGCCTTTTACGTAAAATATCGGGTTATTTATGAAATTATAATATAAATTAAATTATCATAACTAAATGTTGAATTAAAAAGCTTTTTGTTTAATAAAACGTCAATAGCGAAATTATGATATGTATTTTGACATTTCAGTTTTTGAAGTATTTCTTTGCAGTTTTACATTTAAACAACTTGATTATTGAAAGAGGTCTGGAATGGGATCAGCCACAAACCGTAATAAATGATAGCGAATTACTCTCCCTTTACTAATGTCCTATCTCGAATCTTCATTACTTAAAGATGAGCAGAAATCAAATGAAATAAATCTTGATCAGATTTTGTTTCCCGATTCATTCGTTTGAAAACGCGTTTGAGAATATTAAAAGGAGAGGCGGGGATCTCGTGGCGTCGACTGGAACGTTCCTTGCGGACTACATAGAGCCGGAAATATGAAATATTACGCCTACGTGACACAATAGCATTCACTTTGCAGCGCCATCTGTCATGATCTGTTGACCTTACGCGTGAATTGTCGCTTTTGATCCTTTTGTCCTCGGAACAAGTATATCGTAAAGTTCAAATAGTCTGCGTATTTATAAAACATTACTTTGTAATATTTGGCATTTGTACGAATAATATTTAAGAGGGATCGGTTCGTACAAAACGTAGTAACAACACAAAATGTTTAAATTTACATGAAAAATCTCCGTACAAAGTGTGACTTAATAGTAAAAATATTTTTTAGTAACTTGTTTTGAACAAGTAATCTTTTGTCATAACTTTGACGACTATAGAGTCCCGTATACAATGTACGTACATACAGTTGTAAATTACATAACTTGGTAGATTGAAAAAATAGGTACATCTAGTGGAACAATTTGATGAATGTTATTCTTCTCACATTTAAAGCATTTTTTCTTACTTATGTAGGTACCACGAGCGGTAGCATTTAAATATTTATAAAACATTAGCATTTAAATAAGCGTTAATATTACTTAGCTTTAAGTTCAGCGAAATGTAAAAGCTAAAACGAGTGTTCGTTCGCAAGAAATTCCCCTTTAAAATTTGCAAGTCATTAGCGCGATTTCATTGACGAAGGCGGTATAATTTTGATGGATTGTGATTAAGTGGCTTGCGTACAAGAAAGTCAAATTAAAATCGACCAATACGTAACTAACCTACTTGCTATTAGGCGACAAATGGCCTTTATCGTATATTATAACCGAAGTTATTGGATTCGAATGTTCTATTAAGTTTCTAAAGTACGTTTGAACTGAGTGTTTTTTTATTGAGCTAATTCTAAAGTACGAAAACAACTTTTATGTTGGTTTTGCTTAAAGTAATAATACAGGTTTACTGGTGGATTTTGCTACAAAAAGAAGAAATAATAAAAAATTAAGACCTCATTTATCCGAACAAAAGCATCGTAGCGAATATGACTGACCATCTGCGGTTAAAAATAGCCGTGCAATTACCCAAACCCGCATTTCAGTAATATTTCACGAAAAGGATTGGCCTCGACAAATGAATGTACGGAACCGCGCAGCGATGCCTATTTACTTGATTTTGCTCGAAAAAATTTTGCAATTCAAAATATTGACGTAACACACGTCCATGTGGGCTTTTGGACATATTTAAATTGGATTTGAATATTCAGCTTTCTCTCTATTTGGACAAGTTTATTTAATATTCCGCTTGTCATCAAGACTATAAAATTTGACCTATCTGTTAGGCCAAGTTTGATTGATAGACGAAATATTACGTGGACCGAGCGGCGGAGAAGCAGTAAATTATTTTTTGACACGGAATTGAAGTACCTCTTGTAATTCATCTTCAAAACGTATTTATCTTTCCACTGCTCTTGTTTAAATCCTAAAATATACAGTTTCAGAAATATCTATGTATTACCTTATCTTAATTATTTTTTAATTTGTGAAGCGTTACGTGAACGAGATAAAACTTGTCAACTTCGTTTAATAAGATTGTTCTTGACGCAAAATTTGAAAAAAAAAGCCGATTTGACAAATACATTTTTATTAGAAATATTTTACGTTAGCGGGAAATTGATGTGTCTATTAAAAGTTTATGACGTTTCCTTATATCGGCCTCTCTGGCGATAAAACCCGCCATGCGTGGTTACCAGTACAAAAAAATTGTATTCAGTCAACAATTTTTATTGCTAATGTCTTATTTCGCTGTGAAGCGGCTTTTTATGGTTCAGAGGAAATTTTCAGTTTAGGGATATTTTTATGTACTGTCTATTATTAAAGATAATTGAGTTTATTACAAACCGAGATTCAACAAACAATCGTTAAATGTGCACTACCATTACATTGTATTAAAAATGCCAGTCTCCTGCGCAGGTATACATAAGCGAATAAGCACATTTCGAAAGCCAAAATACTGAACACTAATCGAATTCAACTGAAAAAAATATTCGCTCGTTAGGTTAACGAAATAATGTTTAAAAATATATTAAAATTCCTCTTCAAGACGAATTCAATAGAGTATTGAAATAAGCGGGCTGCGTTATATCTGTGTGTAATCTGGCTTGCATTTTATTTCAAACTCAAACAGAGCAAAAGAACTATTTGGCACGAGAAGAACAGTATCATTTATAAGCGGTTTGAGGACTCTGCTTTTTTATGACGTAGGGGGTCAGACAAGTCTGGGTTTCACACGACAGAAGACTACATATATCACTACAGATACACTTCTCGCCTTGTTCCTCAGAGGACGGTAATTCGTTACACGAAGCAAACTAACAAACATAAACATAAGTGAAACGCTGTCTGGAGTTTACGCGAGTACTGCTTTGCAGCAGCCGTGATCACGGGACCCCCGTCAAGGTGTCTCCCCGTAAAAAATATTTATGTATAATTTATATATACTAACACCTTAGATATACAATAAATAAGAAGTGTTAAACGATGAAAACATTCTTTAGTTGTATGCATTGTGTACCGTGGCGATAGCCTAAATAAAGAAATATACTTTTCTCAGCTGTTAGGAATTCTAAAGAGGTAGAGTTTAAAACGGAACTTTACATAGAAGAACAACAAACAGTCCTTTCGATAGAAAACATTTTATCAAGAACTAACAATTGGCTCTTACTTACGCCCAAGTCTTAAGAAAACTCCTCGCGATGGCTTTTATGAAGACAATCGGAGAGAAAAGTCGAACGTAAAATGGAATACTTCAAAGTATCATGTAAAAAAACACGAAGAACAATCGAGAAGAACACGCAAAAGAAAAAAGCTTAAAATTATTAAAATGTTACATAGTTACACTATACATATACATACATACCGACTGTATGTTTATTTTTTGTACAAGGTGCTGCTTCTGTTATCAAATATTTATTTCGGAGTGTCTGAATCTGAGATCGTTGACCTAACTTAAAACCAACACACTACGTAGATAAAACAAAACAAACCATGAGCACAACACAATACAATACAGTAATAAGCTTAAATTTTTCCTTTTTCCTCTATAATGATCATGAAACATTGGTAGAGCGGTCCCAAAGCTAAGTGAGGTAATTGAAACGAATAATGTTCGACATAATTTATTAGACATTTATCGCTTGAGTGATTTAACAAAATGACGTTTCTATTTTCGCAAAACGTTTTTACACTCGCTCAAATAAAAACACGTTCTAAATGGCGTTTTCCTTCCTTTAATTCCCAAATAGAAGATTTCAGCAGACGGAGGTGTCATAAAGCCAAGAGGTCTATATATAAAATAATGAGCTCAATAAATGGCTCGTATCTCGTATTTCCTGAAATTTCTTTCATTATGTCCCCGTCGTAAATATAAGGAAAACAGAATAAAACGGAATTTCAAAGGAACTGTGTTCTTTATACAGAGTGTTCGTGTTATGTACATTGGACCTCTCGCTTCTACACTATCGAGACAATAGTGGGATACCGCGTTGCAAGCTGAAGCGAAAAGTGATATTGAATTAAGTCACATATTTAAAAAACCACAGTGCATCGTGCGGTTTGAGCTCCGGTGTCCACGGTTGATACATGCATCTTTCGCGCAACGTGACTTCAAACTCAATTTATATAATACTTTGAAAACATTAATATTTTTCACATGTTATTGCACATGAAGGCACTATATAATTTAAAAATCGAAAATAAATTGAAAAAAATTTTCGACTCGGGCAGGACTTGAACCGGCATCGTCAGCTTTCCGTGCTGTTGCTCTACCAATTGAGCTACCGAGTCCTACACCTCATCGTCGAATTTTTTTTTCAACTTATTGATACATGCACCTCTCGCGCAATGTAATTTCTACCTTAACACTTGCGTATTAAGGCTCAATGTCTTATGCTTTGCAGCTTAAGAAATCATTGAAGATGAAATTACAAAGTTATAACGTTTGAAAACATTAATATTTTTCACATGTTATTGCACATGAAGGCACTATATAATTTAAAAAATCGAAAATAAATTGAAAAAAAATTTTTCGACTTCGGGCAGGACTTGAACCGGCATCGTCAGCTTTCCGTGCTGTTGCTCTACCAATTGAGCTACCGAGTCTACACCTCATCGTCGAATTTTTTCAACTTATTGATACATGCACCTCTCGCGCAATGTAATTTCTACCTTAACACTTGCGTATTAAGGCTCAATGTCTTATGCTTTGCAGCTTAAGAAATCATTGAAGATGAAATTACAAAGTTATAACGTTTGAAAACATTAATATTTTTCACATGTTATTGCACATGAAGGCACTATATAATTTAAAAAATCGAAAATAAATTGAAAAAATTTTTTTTAAATTGAAAAAAGTTATAATTTGTAATTTCATCTTCAATGATTTCTTAAGCTGCAAAGCATAAGACATTGAGCCTTAATACGCAAGTGTTAAGGTAGAAATTACATTGCGCGAGAGGTGCATGTATCAATAAGTTGAAAAAATTCGACGATGAGGTGTAGGACTCGGTAGCTCAATTGGTAGAGCAACAGCACGGAAAGCTGACGATGCCGGTTCAAGTCCTGCCCGAGTCGAAAATTTTTTCAATTTATTTTCGATTTTTAAATTATATAGTGCCTTCATGTGCAATAACATTTGAAAAATATTAATGTTTTCAAACGTTATAACTTTGTAATTTCATCTTCAATGATTTCTTAAGCTGCAAAGCATAAGACATTGAGCCTTAATACGCAAGTGTTAAGGTAGAAATTACATTGCGGAGAGGTGATGTATCAATAAGTTGAAAAAATTCGACGATGAGGTGTAGGACTCGGTAGCTCAAT